GGGGGCAGGGGGGGCAAGACTGAGGGTGGGATAGACTAGGGTCATGCTTGGAGCATCGGCGAGCAGGGACGCCAATCTGTATTTGGTTTGGGAATACAGTGAACTCGCCCCATAGGACTTCTGTCCAGTCTATGCCCTTCAGCGCTTTTCTCTGATTTACAGGCAGCAGAGTACAGGGTTAAGAGACAATCCTGAAACCAGAGCCCTGTGTTCAGTTCCCGGATTTGTAGTTTACAAGTTGGGCAGGGGTTGGGGTGCTGCTCCTGCCTTTGACCTCGGCAGCGACAACAATCTGTAAAGCAGCTACAACAGCAGGGCTGGCCTGACAGCCTCCACCCCCATTAAAATGACCGCAACCCTCCAGGTGGTGTGAAGGGCTCATAGCCTGTGCCTGGGGGGTGGGGTAGGGGCAATGCATGTCTCCATTGCGTCTGGACTGTTGGGGTCCCCACCTCCCAAGCCCCTACCAGCCAGGGGCTCCCTCCAGTGCTCTCTATTAGAGTGGGGGGGCTTTTGAGTCCCCCCTCACTCAGTCACATGAAGTATTGCAGAAGGAAGGCCCCCAGGAAGAGGGCTGGCAAGGCTCCGCAGGCAGGGCTGGGGGCTGGTGCACCTCTCCAGCTGGGACTGGCAGGGGCCCACCCTCCACACAGCCCCTGGCCTCCACCTGGTCCCGTCCAGACTGCACCTCTCTCCAATCTTCAAAAAGAGCCACTCCCAAGTGGCTGGTCGTCCTCACCCCAGGGCCCCACTGTCCAGTCCCTGGCCCACCTGGTCCTCGCCCCTGGAGTAAGCCAATTCCAAACCAAAGCCAGGTTTAAAGGGAGAAAAGCAAACCAGAGCAGGAGCTTTGCCCTAGACTGGCGTCTCCAGGCTCACAGGGTGTCCCCCATGTCTGTGGTTGGTGGGACCCCCGCACCCACCCACTCCAGGCCACTGTCCAAGAGCACTCTGCATAAAAATAGGAATAAAAATGCACAGAGGACTGCTGGTGACCAACCTTTTTGGTGCCAAAAACGGGGTGCCCAGAAGTACACAGAGGGCTGCAGAGACTGCGCACCCCCTCCTCAAGCCCTTTCCCTTGCTGGGAGGGGATGAAGTACCAGGGATACGGGTGGACGACAGGCCAACCTGGCTTCCCCAGGGACTTAAGAAGGAAGGGAGGCTGAGGGCTGCCCCACCCCCCCAGGTCCGGGATCTGCTGGGTGTGCGGGGCGTGGACCCCCGGCTCTCGGCCCCGCCAGGGTTGATCACTCGGGTCTTACGGGACTTGGGATTTTCAGCCTGAGATGACCAGGGAGCGAAAAGGGGCTGTGCCCGCCGAGTGGGGTCGGGGCAGGGACGCCCGGGTGAGGTTGTGGGTGTGGCCGAGAGCCGGGGGGCG